CACCAAAGCCCTCCTAATTGCGACTTGAATGAACTCAAAAGGTGCTTAAAGACCAAGAAAAACGGAATAACCTGTCCAATTTCCAAGTATAGCATCTACTAAAGACCCAAAACAAGCATTACTCAAACATTCAAGTCCAATTGAAACTTTTAAACACTTCAAAAATCCCAAAAATCAAGAAAAAAGTCAAATAATGATTGAAGTTGCAATGATTTAAGGACTTAATTACAAGATACTAGAACATGCTTGGGCTTTTGTGGAACAAAGAGAAACTTAGAGGGATCCAATTGATTAAATGTTCCAATTACTTGGGCCTTAGTAGAATAAAGAGAAACTTGAGGGGCCAAAGTGTAATTTTTAGAAAGCATTTTCATGCAAATTTTCATGCAATCTACGTGAATGACTTCTGCAACCCAAAAACATTTCTGCAGCCAAGACATTACCGCAACTTCCATTTTTCGTAAGCAACTATCGATCTCAACATAAATTGGATCAAAATCCTTTCAACCAAACATGCAAAACATGACAGACAAATCTAACATTCAACAAACCCAAACATAGAAAAACAAAATCATGCAAATGTTGGAGAGTTTTATGCAAAAGATTCGACATTTTTCATCCGCAATTCCTTGCAGCTTGTGTTCATTCTAATGCAACTTTTCCAATCCCAACTTAGCTAGACTCTTAAACAAACATCACCACCTTGACCTTAACAACAAAATCACCAAAACTCAACATCCAAATAAACTAAAAGACTTAGCATAAAGAAGGCAACTCCAGCAAATTTTTGCTGCAATTTTTGCAGCCCAAACTTCACGTCAACTTCATGCCAAAAGAAAATCTCAAACCATTTGGCCAACAGAAACAAGACAAGGATATGCAAGGGCGAGGGAATGGGAAAGGAACTTCTGCAAATTCTGGGTTCATACAATGAAGATGATCATCAATGATATAAGCAAACAACAAAAACAGCAATAGAGGAAAAAGGAAAAGTGCCGCAAGTTTTCGGCAACCTAAAATGAAGTTTGCCGCATTATGTTTCCAAACAAGTTCATCAAAACCAGAAATTGTCGACTAAATCAAAATGTGAACCTTTGTTTGCAAAATCAAAGTGGTAAACCTGGTTTGATCGAAAAACAAAAGAAAGAAGAAAAGCTGCAGCAAGATTTCGGACATAAGCTAGCAAAAAGCATCACTCAACATCACTTAACATATAAGCACTTTCATTCGTAGGGTCCATTCATGAACCGTGAACCATTTAAGATCAAATGGAGGCAAATGATGAACCAAATGGAAGACATGTGCAGTGATAGAAAAGTAAATCTAGCCTTGTGATTTCTTGAAATGAAATTTCATCACCCAACAAAGAGTCTCATATGAAAAAGCTCAAACAGATTCTACCATTATCTATTCCGGAAAATCCAATCAAAGCAACAGGACAAAATACAGCAAAGGAAACCGTAGAGCATAAGGACAAATGCAGCTTATCATCATGCAACCCAGAATTTCAGACATCATCTTGACAGATTCCCAAGTTAAAACATTCCGTGGGGCCTTAGCAAAATTCTGAAACCTATTTGATTCTTGGATGTTTAGCAAACACACGTAACAGCCACGAATCTTAACGGCAACAAGGAGGCAATCATTAAAAATCAAGTCTTTAAAGCATCAGGAATCATTAAAGGAGGAAAACACAAACTGATAGCCTTTTAGTTGACAGAATCCCAATCAAACATGTTCAACAAACAATGCATTCTGCAGACAAATCATGTATTCTAATGGCCTAGATACTAGTCACGCTAATCAAACAAGAAAACCCACGTCTAGTTTTAGAAGAAACAAAACAAAGCAGAGTTTAAGACTACCTCTTTTCTGTCTTTTGGAATCAAAAGACCGTGGATATGCTAGGATGAGCAGAACTTCACCGAAATCAACTCGCAAACTCTGATGGAGGGCTGTGCGTCTCCAGTCTTCAGGTCTTCAACCTCCTCCTTTTCTCCCGTAGCCTTCCTCTTGTATCCTTTCTCTGCAGTTTCCCTTCGCAAGCTCTCCCCGCAACCCTCTGTTCTTTGTTCTCTTTTCGTAGCTAGTGTCTCGCCCTAGCTGCCCAAACGAAGCTCTCTCCTTTCTTAGTTTCTTCTGTTGCTATCCTCTAAAACCTCAGCCCTTTTGCCGTGCGTTTCTTTTTTTCCTTTCCCCCAAATTCCAGATTTCCTTTGTCTCTTCCGTTGCTCTGTTTCTTTCTTTTCGCCGACCGTCTCTCTTGTAACCTCTCTCTCTCTCTCTGATTTCAAACGCCAGTTCCCTTTCCTCCGCTCACTTTCCCAAAACCCTCACCAAAATCTCAGACCCCAGCCAATGCCCTAAAACCTCTCAGCCGGCACTTAGTTTTCTTTTTGTCTCTTTCCTCCCCCCGCTGTTTGTTTTCTTTTTTCTTCTGCTCATCCCCATCCCCCTTGCGGCTGCCCACTCTCTTGGCTATTTATATGGAACTTCAATCCTAAAACTCAGCAATCCTCTACATTTGCAACTAAGGGCTGCCCGAGCCCCTTTCTTGCAAGCTGCAACAACACGCAGCTCTTGCATGCTGCGTTTTTTTTTATTTTTTTATTTTTTTATTATTATTTTTTTAACTAATAATTTTACAAAATTGATAATAAAACTAAGTAATAAAAAACAACAATTTAAGTAATATCGCATCGAAATAAACAAATTAAAAACAAAGTTGCCATTTTTCAAATTTTCCTTCATTTCTATTTTCATTTTTTCATTTTTTTCTTTTCTTTTCTTTTTTTCCTTTTCATTTTTTTTAAGAAAACATTGAATTAAATCAAAACAATTAAACATATTTTTTTGAATGCTTTTCCTTTTCTTTTCCGAGAAATTCTATGCTAAAACTTAAAAATAAAAACTAAAAACTAAAAGGTGAATAAAACAGTCATGACAAGTAAATGAAAACATACTAAAATTTTGGTGTCTACAGAAGTTTTATTTAAAATTGATCTTAAGAGAAATCTGTTCATGGTATAACATGCTGTGTTTATGGTTTCAGCTCAAAAATACTTTGGTAAATTGCATTCACTAAGCATGGTTCTAGCAGTCTTTTGGAGAGTTCTATTTTTTCTTACCACAACTCCATTTTGTTGGGGGACTCTAGCAATAGAGAATTCATGTGTAATGCTATTGTTATCACAAAAGTCTGGAAATCCACAAAAACGAAATTCAGTGCCATTATCACTTCTAATTTTGATAATTTTCAATCCAATCAAATTCTGAACTTTAGCAAACAGTGATACGAAGTTCTTGAAAGTATCATCTTTATGTGCAAGAAACATCACCCATGTATATCTGGAATAATTATCAACAATAACAAAACAAAATCTCTTACCACCAAGGCTTGTAGTTTGTGTAGAACCAAACAGATCAAGGTGTAAAAGTTCTAGTGACTTTGAAGTAGAAACACATTTCTTAGGTTTAAAAGATATCTTGACTTGTTTTCCAAATTGGCAAGCATCACATATCCGGTCCTTTTTAAATCTGATTTTTGGAGACCTCTAACAAGATCCTTTTTAGAAATTTCTTTTAGCAAATTCATATTGAAGTGACAAAACCTTCTATGCCATAACCATGGGCCCTCATTTGCTACTTTGAGACATTTGAGATAGGAGGAATTAATTTTTTCAAGAACAACTACATAGATATCATTAACTCTTTTTTCTTTAAAAATAATGTTGAATTTTGAGTCAAATATGAGACATTCAAGCTTCTTGAACAATACAAACAGATTCCTATCACATAATTGGCTAACACTTAATAAATTGTAGCTCAGATTGTCAACAAGAAGAACATTGTGAATAAAGGTTTGACCATTCTTACCAACATCACCAATACCAACAGTTTTGGCTTTGTTATCATCTCCAAACGTTACCTTTCCACTTGTTTTTGGCTTGAGTTTAATGAATTGTGATGTATCACCAGTCATATGTCTTGAACATCCACTATCAATGAATTATTTTGATTCTTTAGCAATGTTATCCAAGTTCACCTACACACAAACCCACAAAATAATACTTGGTATCCTTTACATGTTGGGTCCTTGAGAGTTAGCATTATGTCTAACCATCCACATGCATCTCATGCCATTTTTCATGTTTTTCTTAACATAACAGTTGCTATTCATGTGACCAAATTGACAGCAGAAGTTGCATACTGACATTGGATCAATCAAATGAACAGGTTTAATGAATCTGACTTACCTTATCCTATGGATAGCAAACTCATTTGCATTTTGATTCAGTCTTATTTGATGAGCGTTAAGATGAGGTTTAGTGTCATTCTTTTGAAGACGGTTCTGTTTCATATGATGTAACAATTGACATAAATCATCCATCCTTTTTCTTAGACTACATTGTTCATTTCTGAGTATGTCACAGAAATTTTTCTTTTTGTTAAGTTCAGCAAGCACATCAGTTTTAGTCCTTTTCAGGTTTTCATTTTCATGCTTAAGACACTTGTTTTGTCGAAAAAGATTTGCATTGTCTTGAATCAGAAAATTAATTTTCTGTTTTAGTTCTTTGTTTCTGATATAAGATTCTTTTAAATTGTTGTGCATCTTTTCCAAAAATGAATTGACATCATCATCAGATTCATTGTCACTATCAGTTTGGGAAGTACAAGCAGTTACCTCATCATCACCAATGGCCATGAAAGCCATTTGAACAGATTCTTCTTCTTCCTCAACTTCACCTTCTGAGTTACAATCATTCCAGGTGATCTGGAAATTGTTGAACTTTGATTTTCGTTCAACCTTGTTCTCCTTCTTTTTCTTCATTGGACACTCATTGCATAGTATCCTGATTGACCACATTCGAAACACTTATCAATCTGTTTCTTGTTGAACTCCAGTTTCCTTTTGTTTCTGAAGTCATTAGACTGATTTGGGAAGGAATTGCAGGATCCACCTTTCCTGAATCTTCTCTTGTTGAGTATACTTTTGAAACCTCGTGTGATGAGTGCAATATCACTGTCATCACCTTCTAAATCATTTCCATCCTGTGAGATTGTTTCATCTTCGTCTTGTGATACTTTCAGAGCAATACTCTTTCTTACCTTGGTGTCTTCTTCATCCCGCATCTTAGATTTAAGTTTCAGTTCGTAAGAAATTAGAGAGTTAATCAGAAATTCAATGGGTAAAGTATTCAGATCCTTGGCTTCTTCAATGGCAGTGTAAGGTCCCGGTGCAACCCAATGTGTACAAACAATTTCACAATGATGTACAAAAATATATCAAATTTAAGCACAATAAAGAAAACTTAATTAAAGAGAAAAGATAAGAAATGCAAACCAAATATCAATCCAATAGCCTCTTCAATAGATGGCGATGCTAACCAAGATGTACAAGTGAAGGCTCACTCCTTCCTCACCCCAAACACTCTTTGGTTGAGCCAAGGAGTTTTACAACTATTCAATTTAACCCTCAACAACCTACACTTGAAAGATCACTCACCCAATTAAGAACTATTTTATACAAATGAGGCAACCTTCACCAAGGTTTTACCACTTCAAGTGATAGGTTCACCTTCACCAAGGTTTTACTCCTCCTAGAGAGTAACCTTCACTTGAGCAACCTCACAACCCAACTTCCCCAACCCCTTATACAACCAACAAAGAATCTTTCTACTCAAAAATCTCACTTGTAAGCTTGTATTTTGTGTTGGCAAAAGTCTTGTGTCTTCTTGTGCTTTGGGGTGTTTATAGAAGGTGAGAAATGGCTCCAAAAGACTCTCAAACGGTCAAACATTAAATGATGTCAAAACTAGCCGTTGGCCTGTCGGACGTCCGAACCACCTGTCGGACGTCCGAACCCTGCGTCCAAACCACCTGTCGGGCGTCCGAACGTCGTCAGAGAGTCATCAAATATTTACGAAATTTCTCGGACGTCCGATGCGATCGATGTGCGTCCGAGGCGTGCGTCCGATCCTTCCGGACGTCCGATGCTCCTCACGAGCATCTGACAGAGTTTCCTTCTTGATGTTCTTCATCCTTTCGGACGTCCGATCCTGACTTCTTGAACGTCCGACAGCTTCAGCAAACTTTGCCTTTCAATTGTACTTGTTCATGGAATCAAACAACTTCAAAACTGAAAGTATATCTTGAAGAAATATTAGTATCATCCATTTATTTTGTAAATATCAAAAGATAGGGATCAAGATCAACATTCTCCCCCTTTTTGATGATGACAAAACAATGGATGGAAGGAAGGAAAAAAAATTAAGCATATGAGCATAGACTCCCCCTCACTCATTGCAACCAAACTTATAATTTCAGAATAACTCCCCCTAACACATAACATCTATTTCTCCCCCTTTTTGTCATCATACAAATTCAGTAGTATTCAAAAATATCAGCGAAAACTCAGATCAAAGTATCAGAAATATCAAAAAAAAAATTGTGAACAAGAATCACTGCAATGATTAACAAAATCTCCTATTTGTTAAAGTTAGCATCATGTTTAACTAGCCACATGCATTTCATGCCTCTTCTCATATTCTTTCTCACATAACAATCACTTTTCATGTGATCTTTTTGACAACAAAAATTACACATAACCAAAGAGTTATCTACATGAAAAGGTTTAATAAATCTTACTTGTCTTCTCCTATGGATGGCAAATTCGTTGGAATTAGAATTCAACCTATTCTTTTGAAAACAGACTTGTTTCTTGTGTTTAAGCAATTCATTTAGACCATCCATTCTTCTTTTCAAATCACCTTGTTCCTTTTTGAACAAATCACAAAGTTTTGTTTTTCTATCAAGTTCAAAATGTAAAGCAGTCTCACTCTTCTTGAAATAATCATTTTCAGCTTTCAACGTTTTATTTTGTTGAAAAAGATTTGCATTATCTCGAAGCAAAAAACTAATTTTCTGTTTTAACTCCTTATTTCTAGCATAAGATCCTTTCAAACTTTTATGCATTTTAATCATAAAAATTTGCACATCATCATCTTCATTATCTTCATCACTAGAAGAGTGATAAGAACTTACCTCACCTTCTCCAACGGCCATTAGTACCATTTGGGCCAACTCTTCTTTTTCTCTTTTTGAATTGCATTCATCCCATGTAATTTTGCAATCTCCTCTTGAACATCTCTTGTTGAAGATCTTCTCGAAACTTTTGATGTGAGGAGTTATATCATTGTCCACTTCCATGATTTCATTACCCATGAAGAATGGGTTATCCCCCACTTGAGATGCTTTAAAAGCTATGCCTCTCTTATACATTCTTGCATTTTCTTCCTCTTGCACTTTGAATTTCAGCTTTAATTCATAAGAAGTTAGGGAATTCACAAGAGATTCAATGGATATAGAATTTAAATCCTTTGCCTCTTCTATAGCATTTATTTTGTTTTCCCATTCTTTTGGCAAGGCATTCAAAATCTTTCTATTTTTCTCACCCAAAGAATATTCTTTTCCAAACAATTTAAGATCTTGAATAATGTCACAAAATCTACTACACATCTTATCAATATTTTCAAGAGGATGCATTTTAAAAAATTCATATTGAGAAACAAGCAAAGATTTCTTTTGTTCTTTAATATCTTGGTTACCTTCATGAAATACACACAATTTATCCCAAATATCTTTAGCTGATTTACAACCTTTAATCCTACTAGATTCATTTACATCTAATACATTGTACAATATATACATGGCCTTGACATTCAAAGAAAGGTATCTCTTGTCATTTTCATTCATTTCTTGTCTAGTCTTTAATCTACTCAAATTAGTGGTAGAGTCAACTATTCTAGCTTCATAAGGACCATCTTCTACCACATACCATAATTCAATATAAACGGATTGTAAGAAAATCATCATTCTTTATTTTCACATGCTAAAATGAGAACCATTAAATATAAGTGGTTTATCAATAGATTGCTCTTCTAAAATAGAAACTTTTATGGTTGTCATGATCTTTATTCTAAGCGGTTAAGCTTGATCAAAAGAGACCAAACTCTGATACCAATTGTAAGGTCCCGGTGCAACCCAATGAGTACAAACAATTTCACAATGATGCACAAAGATATATCAAATTTAAGCACAATAAAGAAAACTTAATTAAAGAGAAAAGATAAGAAATGCAAACCAAATATCAATCCAATAGCCTCTTCAATAGATGGCGATGCTAACCAAGATGTACAAGTGAAGGCTCACTCCTTCCTCACCCCAAACACTCTTTAGTTGAGCCAAGGAGTTTTACAACTATTCAATTTAACCCTCAACAACCTACACTTGAAAGATCACTCACCAAATTAAGAACTATTTTATACAAATGAGGTAACTTTCACCAAGGTTTTACCACTTCAAGTGATAGGTTCACCTTCACCAAGGTTTTACTCCTCTTAGAGAGTAACCTTCACTTGAGCAACCTCACAACCCAACTTCCCCAACCCCTTATACAACCAACAAAAAATCTTTCTACTCAAAAATCTCACTTGTAAGCTTGTATTTTGTGTTGGCAAAAGTCTTGTGTCTTCTTGTGCTTTGGGGTGTTTATAGAAGGTGAGAAATGGCTCCAAAAGACTCTCCAACGGTCAAATATTAAATGCTGTCAAAACTAGCCGTTGGCCTGTCGGACGTCCGAACCACCTGTCGGACGTCCGAACCCTGCGTCCGAATGTCGTCAGAGAGTCATCAAATCTTTGTGAAATTTCTCGGACGTCCGATGCGATCGATGTGTGTCCGAAGCGTGTGTCGGATGCTTTCGGACGTCCGATGCTCCTCACGAGCATCCGACAGAGTTTCCTTCTTGATGTTCTTCATCCTTTCGGACGTCCGATCCTGACTTCTTGAACGTCCGACAGCTTCAGCAAACTTTGCCTTTTAATTGCACTTGTTCATGGAATCAAACAACTTCAAAACTGAAAGTATATCTTGAAGAAATATTAGTATCATCCATTTGTTTTGTAAAACATCAAAAGATAGGGATCAAGATCAACAGGCAGTCACTTTGCTTTTCCAGTCCTTTGATAGAGCATTCAGAATTTTTCTGTTCTTTTCACCTAGAGAGTACTCCTTCTCAAGCACCTCTAAATCCTTGATCAGATCATTAAATCTGCAATACATTTTATCAATATTTTCATGAGACTCCATCTTAAAAGATTCATACTTAGTGACCAGAATGGATTTCTTTTGCTCTCTTACATTCTCGCTTCCCTCATAGATCTCTCTAAATTTATCCCAAATTTCTTTTACAGATCTGCAGCCTTTGACTCTAATGGACTCATTTGAGTTTAATGCACTATAGAACATTCATAGCCTTGGCATTTAGAGTGAGATGAGTTCTATCTTCAGCAGTCAACTCACTTCTTATTTTTTGTCTCAGCCTATGAGTAGTTTCATCAACAATAGTCGCGTCATATGGACCTTCACTAACAATAAATCACAACTCAATATCAATGGATTGTAAGAATATAATCATCCTTTCCTTCCAACTCACATAGTTTGATCCATTGAACATTGGAGGTCTAGTGACAGATTGTCCCTCAAAGAACATGGCATTGTTGGTTGTCATATTTACTCCCAAGACGATTGAACTTAATCTCTAGGAGACCAAGCTCTGATACCAATTGTAAGGATCGAGGACAACCTAAGAGGGAGGCTGAATTAGGTTTTCTAAAACTAGCTAAGATATAGGTCACTCTTTTCAAGCCTACCTTTCTTTTCTCGAAAACCACTCAATAGATCAGATTACAAGAAAGTACAGGTGTTCGAGAGATGAAAAAATGAACAGTTTATATATTAAAGTTGTAAACGAAAGTAGAGAGACAAACTAGGTTTCAAACTCAACTTGAGTTTGAACAACACCTTATATAACAAGCTATTTCAAGTTGAACAATCTTGCAACCAATTTCTTGTGTACAAGGGAAGGATCACTTCCTTCTTGTCCCAAACCACACTTGGTCAAGCAAGGAAGTTTTACAAACACTCAGATAACCCTCACAATGTTACACTATTGAAGAAGTTGTGTCACACTTGAAAAGCTACAAGAAAATTGCACAAGTTGAGAATACAAATGTTCCTTTTTGGAGTATTCTAACACTTGAATCACTCACGATTTGATGTAGACTTGATGT